AATAGTGGGATATTGACTTATAGGAGGCTTTGACTCTCTTGCGTGTCAGCTTAACATTCCATAGGTGGGGACGGCTGGGTAGTTTTTATATCCTAAATACAAAGCATACTAAATGGCAGTTTGGAGTCACAGTCATGCATTTAAAATGTGTCTTGAATATTTTAAATTACTTCTATTATGTTTTTTTAGTAGTATTGTTTCCTAAAGAAAACCACTCTTTGATTGTTGCTCTCCCTGTCAGAATTGTGTGCACTCTGTAACATTTTTGGTTGTGGTAGTCCAATTTTCCTAATAATTCTGTTAATGTGCTGTGAAAGATTGGAAATTTGAAGTATGTAGTCTGTATGATACTAAATTGTGATTTGGTGGGACTTACATAACAGCTTTCAACATCTGAAGACAGTGGTTCTTGATATCCTCTTAAGGATATCTACAAATTTGAAGCTGGAATGTCACTGGAATAACTTAAAAAGAATCACTATACTGGGCTTTTTAAATTTTTAGTATGTATGTTAAGAATTAGGTACAAATTGAAATGTCTGTACTAATCCTTGACACAACCAGTAAATCTCAATTACAAAAAAAAAAAAAAAAAGATAGCAGTATCTTATTTTGACCCAACTGACCTTCATGGTACAGATAAACAACTTTAAAGATCCCCACAAAGAAACCACAGATTGAGCATGATGAACAAAACAAGCACAAATAATAACCAAAATGGCAGCGCTTACGCTATAGTACACACCTACCCCCACTCTTGAAGCAAAGCCCACCATTTAACAAAGCCCCAGGAGAATACAGTAGCAAACAGCATTTTGAAAATGGGTATCCAGATACATGTTTTGTTTGCATAATCTTGTGACCATAAACAATGTATGCCACTTATTTAAATTCATAATTGTACACTTAAAAATTAAAGAACAACATCTTCCAATTTAAGTGTTCCAAATGAAGGTTTCAGTGGTCTTTGAACTCATTTTTAGAAATATAAATATGCAATACATTTGATTAGTTTCAAAAAAATCATCATCAGAAATTATCATCAGAGAAGATGAAAATTTAACAGCTGAATTATATAAAACCTTTGCAAAATTGATGGCTGATACTGAAAAATTACTATCATGATTTAATAAGTTTGGCCAACAATCATTTCTTCAATTTATTTCTATACATCTTTGGAATATATCTTTTTTTTGTTGTTTGTTTGTTTGTTTTTAGGTTTTTGCCATAGAGCATGTGCACTTGCCAGAGACAGAGAGAGGGAAAGTGAGTAATCACCCCCTGGCGGAGGATGGCCATGACAATCCATTCTCCTCCTGCACTTAGAGCACACATGTTCATATGCCCAGCATATTTTCAAGCTGACAGCTCTGGGACTTGAACCATGGTCAGTCATGTGGGAGTCCACAGCCTTAACCACCACCACCTGCTGGTCCTAGGATATATCTTTCAAATCTGTGACTAGAGTCACTAACTGTCTCACTTTGCCCAGGCCAAGTCTGCTTAGAACTCTGAAAAGCCCCTTATTTGAAGGAGTTTCTCAGTACTCTGCAACCTAGGATAGTCACCCTTAGCCTGACAACAATAAAATCCAAACCTAAAAGATGGACTTCAGATAATGAAATCTCAATGCGCTAAAATGAGATTTTTAAAAATCATACATATTGATATTTTAATGAGAGAAAATTTGTTTAATTATATATAAATACTACTACTTTTTAAATTTCTGTTTTAGTCTATGGCTTTATGGCACAAAATACAATTTATACAGTAGTAAATCCAGTAGTAAATCATATGACTTTCAAATAAACAAATAATCCATATATGTCCAGATATTCAATTCAAGTTCCTTTATTTGTTCAATAAGCAAATAAATGAGTTTGAAGATTATTATATCAAACTGCCAATTGCTCATACAGGCACATATAATTGACTGTGAGGTAATTGATTATCTGAGGTGCCTTAGCTTGGTACATGTCTATATACATAATTTATTTTGCTATTTATTAATCTGTGTTTTGAGTTCGTATGACTCAATATATATGCATAAACAAATATTATTGTGTATATATAATACATGCACAGCACATATTTACTGCTGTCTTCCTCCATCTGGCTAATTCATAATATACCCCCAGTAGTCACAGTAATTAGTTCTAATATATCCTTGCAAAATTTTATTTATGAAAATACAAAGAAGGCTGGTCCCATAGTGCAGTGGTAAAGTACTAATCATAGAAAGTCAAATCTCACATGACAAACAGCAATTCAAATCCCAGTCTTGGCAGTTTGAAAAATATGCCCTGCACATATGCATGCATGTTCAAAATCCTGATGGGATGGACAATGGAGGAAAAAGGATTGCCCCATGACTATGTCTCAGAGGGATCCCCCCCACCCCCACTTTCTCCATTTTTTCTCTCTCTGGTGAGAGCATGTCCCATCTGACTACATGTGTGTGTGTGTGTGTGTGTGTGTGTGTGTGTATACACACAGACATATATATATACAAAATATACATATACATACACATATGTATGAATATATGTATATATATATACTGAATTACAAAGAAACAGGACTATATATTCCTGTTTTCTTGTTCTTATACACAAAAGGTAGAACATTGTAAGACTTCTTTTTGCCTCTCTTTTCACTTAACAAAACACCTCAGAGGTCTTTGTCTACCAGGTGATAGCATGGTCATCCTTTTTTTCACAGCTAAACACTATTACACTGATTGGATGTGTCATGATTTATTTAACGATTTTTTTATATATGGATGCTTAGGTTGTTTCTGATCTGTTTTTGATCATGCAGTGCTGAAGTGGAAAACCTGCACACGTGTCGTTCTGTATAGGTGCAAGGATATCTGAGGATTACTCCTCAGAAGTACACCTTCCCAGTTTCCATGGTGCTAGATACCACCAGGTCAAGTCCTGCATGAGTTGCCCACTTCTTGTCCACAGCTTGGCTGAGGCCTGTTTTCTCACAGCTGGTCAATAGACTGTCTTGTCTCATATTTGGATTTTTGACAAGATGACCTTTTTAGTGGCCTCAGGGCACATGAACTCACTAGAGAGAGAGAGAGAAAACACATACCCCAATGATGCAGGGTCATGCTGCAACCCATTTTACCATCCTGTTAGAATTTGGGGCATGCACATATACACAGGCCCCACATTTTTCTCAAGCTGCCAGGGCTGCAATTCAAACTATGGTCAGCCATGTGGGATCTGGTTCCGTTAGGGTAGGGGATCAGCCTTCCTTAGAGTTTTAATTTGCATTTGCTTCATTGTGAAGAGGTTGAAGATCACATTACATATTTAAAAGTCATTTGTATTTTCATTTCTGTGAAATGTCTCTACGTTCTTGGTCCATTTTACTGTTGTAATGATTATCCATCTTTTGTTCTCAATAAATCAGGACAATTAGTCCTTTGTCAACAATATGACATGCATTCTTTATTTTTCCTAATTGCCATTTTCTTTTCAGTTTACTAAGGGAGTTTCTTAATATGAAGAGTTTTCTGTTTTGCTTAAAAAAAAAAAAAAACTATCAAACTTTTCTTTTGAGGTTTGAGTAATAGTAAAGCCTTTTCAATTCCCAGATTATAAAAACTGTTTCCTCTGTTTATGACCATAATACCTATGGTTTGCATTATACTTTTAAAATCTTTATTAAGTCTGGAATTTGTGCTAGGATATGAAATGAAGTTAAAAACACAATACTTCTGCCTACGTAGCTTATCACTTGTCCCTGCACCACTTATTAAATAGTCTTCCTTGTTCCACCAGTCTAAGATATTTATAATATACAACAAATACCCACATGCATTTGATACTATTTCTAGCTTTCTATTCTGTCTGTCTATTTACATGCTAGGTCCATAGTGTTTTAATTATTATAGCCTGATGTTTTAATAAGCTTCCTAAGCTATATTTTACAAACAAAACCAAGTTCTGCTTTTGTACAAGTTCTAGAGTCAAAATATTCAGCAAAATATTCAAATCCTGGGTCCATATTTTACTAGCTATGTGATGCTGGGCAAGTGACTTAACTTCTTTGAGCCTCGATTTCCTATTCCCTGACTTGAAGATAAACATAACTTCTTTACATTCCCCCTACAGGGCCCTG